CAGGAGGCGCTACTTCACGGTCAGGGCGGCTAGAGTCTGGAACCAGCTTCCAAGTGAGGTGGTGCAGGCTCCCACCCTGGGGGTTTTTAAGAGGAGGTTGGATGACCACCTTACTGGGGTCATTTGACCCCAGTGCTCTTCCTGCCATGGCAGGGGGTCGGACTAGATGATCTGCTCAGGTCCCTTCTGACCCTAGAAACTATGACACTATGAAACATATATAGCACAGGCAATTTTGCAGAATGGGAAAGCAACCTAATATATACCACCATATCCCTGGTAGCTTGGTTTGAAATTTACTCTGAGTGCAGAGGAGAGTGTTTCTGAAAAGTTAAAAAAAAAAACCCAACCCAAACCTGGCTCCCCTGAAATGCATGTTCAGGTAAAGGTCATTAAAAATTTACCGTGAAAGAAGCAACACACACAAGTCAAGGTTTCAAGTCCCTCTTTCTAACTTAAAAAACACTTCTTACTACTGCTTCAACTTTTAAATATAATTCAATCTCAGTTCATGCACCAGCTTTCCATGAAGAAAATAAATTAGAATTAAGGGAAGTTACTAACACTCTGGATTGCTTCCTGGTCATTAATAGTTACGGATGCTGTGGTTCTCAATAACCGAAAATCTGAATACATGTGTAGGAGCCTAAGGAAGCAACCCTGCAGACACAAACACGAGTAAAACTATCAGCTATAGTAAGACTACTTCTGTAAGGAACCGAGATGTGCAAACACTTGGCAGACTTGAGTTATGTCGACTGAGATGCACAATGTTAAGGATCCAAATTTGAAAATTTTAGCCTAGTATTCCTTTTTTCTAAACAATTTGAAATATTCTGCAGTGACATCAGTAGTTTGGGTATGGAAATCTGATTTTTAAAAGGGATATGAATGTTAACCCAATGGTGTTTAGAGACAACTTTCATGAGGGTGTCAAAGTACATTTGGTAGTGTTTTAAAATTCTGGAAGGTTTACGTATGGACATCTGGATCTGTTAGTAAACTATAAACCAAGATATCTCAACTAGAAGAGCAGATATCTGTATGTTACACAGGTAAACAGTATTCTGCATGTTAAACAGGTGACAAATTTGCATATACAATTCCCAAGGGCTGACATATGAAAGGCTAAATATTATTCTGTAGATAGTGCTTCCCTGACAGTATATTCATGTTTGTTGTGTGAAAACATGCAGCAATTTAAACAAAACTAGACTAACTAGGCTCTAGTTAATGCTTTGTTAAATGTGATCAAAGCTATTGAAATAGTTTAATCTGCTCTCTGTTTACAAGTATGTTTCAGATGGAAAAGATGGCATCCTTCTTTGTTCATACATTGATTTTTCATTCAAGATTTACAATGAGGATGCAGGTAATCTTTTATAGATGAACCCACTCACAACCCAGCAATGGGTTAGGCAATTAAATTTCAAGACAAGAAAAAAGAATGGGAACTTTTTTACTGTAGTTTTTGAATACATGTCTAGACTAGGTGTGCTTAACCCCTGGCCCATGAGCCAGAAAAGGCCAGCAGAGCCTTGCCATTTGGCCTGCAGGTCTGAAAATTGGGCATGGGGGAATGGTGACAGCAACTGCCACTTCCCTGCTGCCAAATTTTTGGATCAATGGGGAGCCCTGTGGGCTGGATAGCAAGCCGGATCTACACATGGAGGTTGCCCAGGGCCAATCTAGGGACACAAGGGCTGGCTGGAGATCGCACAGGACTGTGAGAGGTGATGCAGGGCCTGATCTGCCTTGCAGACCAGCTCTGAGCCACTTATCCAGCCCATGCCACCAACAGGTTGAACACCACTATTGTGGACTAACTCAAAGCGGACAGTCAAATGTGTTGAACAGGTGGTAACACTGACCACGTATGAACATTAAATTATAGCGGCGGATACTTTCCACCTCTAAAATGATTTGGGGAAAGGAAGAAGTACAGACATTCACTCTGCAATTGCCCCCCTCTCCTTCTCTTTGCACTTTCCTGAGACCAGAGTGATCTTTGTTTGGAGGAAGCATGGGCTCTTCCAGTCCTCCCATTCCCAGGGGAACTCCTTGGGTGCCAGGGACCAAGTGGAGGGAGTGGCAGGGCACAGCCCCCTGCCTGAGCATTACTTTAGGGACTCTGGAGTGAGAATCAAACAGGGGACAGTGCTGTTCTCTGTGCTCAGGAGTGCAGTGGAGAACATGACATTGTGAGCCCCCTGTCTGTTGCTTCTCTCCTTCCCTTCCAGTCCACAGGGTTGCCCTTCAACTTCTCCGGCTGACCCCTGTGTCTTCTCCAGGCCAGAATGACCCCAGTCTCTAGAAGGCACAGGAGCCTTTACCTTACCTCCACTCCTCCTGATCACTAGGAATTAAGCCAGGAGAAACCTGGCAGAAATTCAGTCTCCCAGGAGAAACTCATTGTAGTCAGGGTATTTTTCTTGTGGGAATGATCATCTTTGCTCCAGGAGAAAAAGCTGGAATGTCTGCATGCTTTTTGCTTCCTACAGGGAGAGTGGTAATTCTCCCAGTAGAGACTTAACATGTGCATATGGCCTTCATAAACTGAATACCACCTTTTACTGACTTGCATACACTTTTCTTCAATTAAGGCTATGTCAGTAGCGATTTCTTTTCAGTGCTTAGCGCTTACTACTCAGCGTATAGGTTCACTATACCCCAGCTATGGAAAAGGGTAGTATTTGACAAGGAATTCCTAATGGCAGTATACACCATACGAGTGAAACTCAAGTGGCTGTAAACATGGGCAGTATTTTATCTACATTTTTCAGCATTTTTTTAAAATATGATTTGCTCAGTTTTGTTCAATACTGAGTCAAGACTGGGGTCAGCAACATAGGGTGACTATACAGGTGCAGTGAGGCCACTCCAATGCACTGTAAGTAGCACTCTGAAGCAGACTCAATGCTGGAGTGTGGTACTAATTACCATACTCCAGCAGACTCAGTTAGTTTTGTGTAGCATCCCCGTGCTGAAAAATGGCGGTGGGGACGCTTTAACTAAAGCTCATTCAATGACCTTTAGTTAAAGTACCCCTGCCATCATTTTTCAGCATGGGGGATGCTGATACATTAGATGCTTTCACAGCCACTCTAATTAAAGCCCCCGAATGCATGTATAAATGCCCATATAATTTGGATCTGGCCACCAGAGCCCAGTGGCTTTGCCTATCCCTGTGCTAAGTAACAAGGAGCTGTGCTGGGGCCAGGCAACCTGCAGCTGCATCCTTACCACCTTTGCTTCTCCTCCTCCCCTTAGTGTTCCCTCAGCTATGGCTTGGGTGCAGCTTCCAGCTAATGGGGAGCTGCACCACTGGGCAGCTATGTCCACACTGTTGTTGCTTCTCTCTCCCTTTCTCTTCCCCTGCTTCCAAGCTGTGGTGCAGAAGCAGAAGCAGCACAGGCACAGCTTCTAGGTGCCCAACACCAGTGCAGCTCTTCACCACCTGAAGTTGCATTGGTACCCCAGATGAGGACTGGGGAGCTGGGAGAAACAACAGCAGCATGGGTGCAGCTCCCTGCACCAAGGCCAAGCAAATCCCCCCCAGGGCTGCTGAAACCACCCAGCCCATAGCTTGAAAAGGTTGCCAACTGCTACCTTAGATTTCTTACCATCTTCACAGAAAGAAATCAAATTATTTTCCTAAAAAAGATGCTTTATTGAGAACATTTTAGTGAAATTTCATTACAAATGTTTTTTTCACCCACCTATGTATTTATTTCATTTATAAGATGAGTCTGCTTTGTCTAATGGTATAGCTATGGGAGCAGTTCTTACATCTTCCAGATTTTTAAAGCAAGGAGATTCTAACTTGCCTTGTGAGACAGTGTAAGGGGAAAGGGGCAACACCTATTAGCAGCCATGAAAGCACGTAATTAAA